TCAACACTTTTCCATTCGTTAATACAGATGCTGTGTGCTCAGTTCATGCACTAGTCATACTACCAGAAGCTGTCCAAGCTCCTGTTTTTTGTAGATGTGACTAGAGCAACAGCGAACTCCTCCAGGAACAAAAATCCCTCGTTTAGCAGAAAACATTTCTCGTTGGCTACGTGATATCAAAGCCATGTTTCGTGGTTTGTATGAACTGCATACTACGCAAGACCTGTGATGAATATATTTTAAGTATTTAGAAAAAAATATACTAAGCACGCTCACTGTACAGAATCTTTCATACATACCGATGAGATTTACTCGAGCGATCAATTGAAATTTCAATAGTAGGTTGTTGAGCGTCAGGTAAACCTGTTACTGGACTACTGGGCTACTAGGCGTAGAATGAGTATTCTTAAGAGAAATATTCCATGAGAACATCAAAGAAGCGCGACATGAGCTAAAAAGTACTTACTGGAATGTCCATGCTATGCTCAGATACTATAATTTCCATAGTACTATTATTCAGTAACTTCGGAAGTTCATATCCAGTTCTTCGTTTGCATTTGTCGAACTTCGATCGGCATCCACTACAGATTTGTTGGCCTAAATCTACTGTTTTTAGTGCACCAGCAGAAACAAATATTTGTAAAAGTTCACTGGACACTAAGTTTATCCGGCTATTGTCCAACAGTTAATTACAACCTTTACATCTCGCATGTTTTTCTAATACTATCATGTACTGCAAGGTATTCAACAAAGTCAGAAATATTAATACAAAACAAAAAGTCGGAAAAATTTTTCACGCTCTACAATACTTATACATTCTTAACACATCAAAACGAATTTTCTTTCATTCTCTCAACATGTGCAGATTGAAAAAAAATTGCCCACAGTATTTCAGCATCATCGAAAAATTTTCAGTGCAGATATATTTTCTCCGGGCTGGACCAGTTTGACCTATAAAGAATTGAGCCAATGAAGGGTTCATTTAATCGAAATATTGTAGAGTTTTGCAAGAGCTAGTCAAACTTTAGGAGAGCTAGTCATAACTTCGTACTAGATTTCGAACAAAATCGTTTTTGCCAAGCATCGATATGCTTTATGTACCTAATCAGAAAAGTTAATTTAAAAAGTCATCATAAGGTTATAGTGGTACATATGCACATCAAAATGTGTAAAATCGTTTTCTCTACAAAATGTGATCAAGACGAGGTCAGCAACGCAGTGGACCAAAATCAATGAAAAGCGGGCCCTCTCCTTATACATTTTGTAGCCCTTAAATCGTTTTTAATACCAGATGTTCTATTTCTTTGATTGACAGAATATTATCAGACGAATTGTTAGATTTTTGATCGCTAATTATCAATATCGCTTTGGTTTTAATAAGAAATACTTTCGTGCTATAAAATAGATGGAAGATTAAGCAGATAAACACTTATTCTTGTTCGTTTTTGTTGAATGAACAAAGTATGAATAAAGTACATTGATACAAAGACTTGAATTGATACATTGACACAAAGACGAGAAATAAGTAATGATAAGAGATGATCAAAAGGAATAAAATGTAGCTCAGTGAAAATAGTGGAACTATTTCAAATGAGTCGTCTTTGTTCATAATTGTAAAACTAATTGCTTAGGCAAAGAGCACTTGAAAGTGTATGAATAGGTCACAAACGACAAATGGAACAAAACTCAGGAGAGAGAGGGATGTCCTACAATATATCTTATGAAATTACCACTATAGTTATTAGAATGTAAGATGCATCCTCCTACCAACTTTCAATTAGTTGTTCAAGCCGTTGAACAACTCTACATCCTAGTACATTTTATTACTACTGAATTAGCTGAGAATGCTACTGCTGCTATTAAGATCAAGTGCTATTGCACAAATTCATACTGTAAATGCCGGCCAAAGAAGCAAAAGTTCAACAGAAACGTTATGGAGATCATAATAAACGTTTAATAAATCTAATTGAATATCCTCATCCCAATATAGAACAACAAATAGCTGCTATAGCTCATAATATCCATTTATAAATTTATGTTTCAAATAAAGCAGTTTCATTGATAGATAACTGGGATAGGTTCAGTTGTCTTACCGGTATTTATCTGTAGCTGAAATAAATTTTTGTGTTCATCTTTAATGTATCTCTTGTTCTATACACTGCAAATAATATTGATAATTTCTCTTTTGGAAAATTCGAAGAGGTTTCCATTCGAGGAAATTCTATTCAAGGAAACTGCATTCGAGGAAATTATTTTCGAGAATATCGCTTTCGAGGAAATTTCATTCGAGCAAATTCATTCATTCCAAAAACGTTGCACGTTATATCTTTAATTCTTCGATTGTCATTGCGTTGTGTCTATTTACTAGTTGTACATCATCTCGATTAACTCTTAAAAGTTTTGTGTATTTAATTTCATCGGGCTTTCTTCTTTTTTGTTTGATTTTTAGCTGTTGTCGTTGTGTTATCTACTGTTGCATTTGAAACGTCTTATTATTCGTATATTGATACCAATTGTAGATTTGTTCATACCCATTGAAATGTATTTACAACGAAGTGATCTACGCAATGAAAATGTGAAAGAAAGTGATCTAGACAACATGGAAATAAACATGCCTATATAATATTTAAAGGTCTCAATGAATTGTAATTCCAGAATAAAGCGATAACCACCAGCTTCAAAGTAGAAACAAAGATCTGTTTTTAGATCGGTTTCAAAGAATGTGAGAAATTGTTTGTCTACTACTATCGAATTGGTATAAAATTATGAATAATATTGAATAAACCAAACGTAAAAACAGTAGGTGAGATAATTATTTTTTTGGCATTCTATCATCAGATCTTTTATTCGTTCTACCGACTTTGATTTCAATATGTTGTTGATATTACCAATATTGGATAAAGAACAAAATGGTAAATACATGTCGATTGTCGGTACTTGATTACTGATGGCATCTTGTCGAAGAAATTCGTTTATCCATTTAATATTACGATTCTTGAATGCAGTTCGTAGATGATTGACATTATCTTTGGTAAAAAATACAACATTTGCTTGACAATAAATATCTTCAGCGATGAATACAACAAAATGGCAGGCGACTGATTACAAAGAAACTGATCAATTTGTTTCATTATTTCCGATTTTGAGTCTTGATTGAGAGCATATGTATATAATTCCAAATAAGATTTTAGTCATGCAATCAAACTGATCAATGATACATATCGATTAGGAGATCGAACTATCAATTATTGTAATTGTAAAAAATTTTGTTCAAAATATTTGTAGTCATGTGTGAGTGTTTCATCAGTAGTACGTTTACTCACAGTTAATTTTAAATTCATATAAATATAATTTGTATAGATTCTAATCAGTTTCTTGCCATTATTCTGTTGTTGTAAGTGGTGTTCTAGTTCGGTTAACATATCACTGTATTCGATTTTTTCATGTTCGTTTCTCATCGATTCACATATAAAATTTCTCGCTCAATGTAAGACATAATTTTCGCTCCGTATCTTCATAAATGACTTGTATCATCATTCAGCATATCCAATAGTTCACAATAATTCGTCTGGTGATCAATAATCCAGTTTCGTAATAATTCTGGTTCCAGTTTTGCCATTGTTCGATTGATCGACTGATCATCTCTATCGCTACCTTGACATATTTTATTACGTAAAAATAGAAATAAATTCATGAATCAGTTGACATGACCGAAATATATTGACATTTTGGGATATATAATTGAATACGGATCGAAATGTTTCCAATGGATTTCTACTTAACAACTCAATGGCTTGCAAAAGACTAATTAGCAGTTGCAACTCTTCCAAATTGTTCACCAAATATCCATCGAGACTCTTGATACATTGAACAATACGATTATAAATTGTGGATAGACTTGTGATGTCATTGCAGTTTTGAATAACATGAAAACCTTTTATGACATGTTTCTTAGTACAGGTTCATGTTTTGGTATAAATGCCACAAATCTTACTGTATTTATCATTATTCAAATACGATTCATATTTTTCACATTTCATACAAAAAATATAAACGAAATCCATTTGCTTCTTGTCATGTATTTCATCAAGAATGTCGTTTGCACTTGAATCAGATAAAATCAGAAACACTTTTTTCGTTTTGATTTATTCAATATATTCGGTAAATGTTTTAGATTTGAATAAATTAAACATAATCATTGATTTGTTGTAGTAGGTTGATTATTCGGTTCGTATGGTCACGACTGTCAATGTTCTTGTCATACAATATCAATGTTGTTTCTTCCTTGTTCTTGTTTTCATTTGATACGACCATTGATTTTGGTAGAAGGAATGATGGTACACGTTAGAATTTTTCTTCTTGAGTCATTACGTGTTTCATAATGCTTTCACTCTTTCTGTTAATAAATTAAATAGTTGTGCATCAGTACTTTGTTTTAGCTAATCTTTCAGAATCGATATTAATTTTTTAGTCGTTGTTAATCATTTCATTTATCTTCATCATTCATCCATCAAACAAATCAGTGTCAGATAATCAAATCTTTATTTGTTAAATTATTTAGTTGTTGAACTGCTTGTTTGTTTTTCTTTCTTTTATATGATTTAACGTCAACAGATGGTTGCTAATTAAATTTAATATAAAGCCAAGAGCACTACTAATCAGAATGCAATTTTCAACGCAATTTTTCAGCATCGTTCTTTCATTTTTAAGCTTTCTGCACTTTTGTCCATGTGATGTGATAAAACACTTCAAATAAATTAATTATGAAAATCTGATGCAATTTGATTGAGAAATGAAGGTTCTATAAGTTTTTGTTTTAGTGTGATCACAGTGGAAAAATCATATTTTCTAAAAGAATTGTCTTTTGCAGTCTCCTTAATTTGGACATCAAACCAAACAATCTCACCGTAATGAGCGTGTCGGACAACCTATGTACCATATATTTTTGAGGTGCCTAGAGCTCAGGCAGATCCTCGGAGATTGCCTCTAACGCTTGAACCATGGCAGACGGAAGTGTCACACTTGCACGAGATTGTGGGGCGACATCTGCTCTATACCCATATGTATTTAAAGCGATATTTCGCTATTTGGATTTTTGGAGTGACAGACTTGGACTTTTTGCTTCGAACAGTACACCGTGGTACACGTATTAGATAAAAGCCATTTTAGCATAGGATTAAAGCCCCCCTAGTCCACTTTCCCTGGCAGAGTCACTGGTGAATCCTCGGTAAAATGCCAAATCCCTAGCGAGTCTCCCAAAACTGTGAAATACCGAGGGATTCACGGATGATTCCCCGAGAAATCTCGATGGAGTCCCTGATTTTCAGGGAGTAGGGAGAAGGAAGAATACTCCCTAGTGAGTCCATGGGGACTTCCTGTGGACTTTTCGGTGAATGCATTTTACTAAGTGCATAAGTGTATGTGAAAGTACATATGTTCACGAATGACGGCATGTGGCAGACAAAATGGATGCAGCAACACTGTCAGAAAAGTGAAGTGATTAAGTTGCTGAATAAGACGGTTCAAATGACTGATTCGGTGATTTTTGTGAATGAAACGACTGACTCAATCGCATTAGGGAAAATACGGTATATGTACTGTGGATGAACTTAAACATTTCCGAGGAGCATAAGACAGAGCTGTAAAGTGCAGAGCTTCTATTAGTCTTCTGGTTTTTTTTACAAAACTGAAAGGTTTCTTATGTTTGTAACTTGAAGAAAGCCTTTTATTACCCGTTTTCCGTTGAGCTTTAATGTACGAGCATAGTAAGACGAAAGCAGACTCTAAAAAGTAGTCTGCTTTTTTGCCACGAGCAGGCAAAGTGCTGAGGCAGCACTTTGCCATCAACATGTGAAGAAAACAAAATATGACAAAAATGACAAAACATCTGTATTACCTAAGCGGGGGACAACTGCGTCCCAAAAAGTTGATATTTCATCCGACGAAGACAATGTAGCAACACAATTTGGGTCCTCATTGGTTTGGCAATATGCTACAAGGTGTATTGATCGAAATTATGCGATATGTAACTTATGTTCAAATGACAAACGTATATCAACAAACCATGGATCAACATCGACTTTGCGTCAACATTTAATATCGAAGCATGGGAAAAATGAATTGATGATACCGATCGACAAAAAGAAAGACAAATCATTACCATTCAGCCTTGAAAAGAAACGACAATTAGATGATTACCTTATTAAATCTGTTGCTAGTGATGCACGTACATTTAACGACTTCGGAAAATCTGGCATTAAGAAGTTTTTAGAAGCGGCGCTTCCCGGTAAGATTAATTGAAACTAGGGACGATGCGATGAAGTTTGATCAAAGGAGGCTAAATTCAGTTAAGCTAAACTCATAGAATGCATAGGTGAACTTGCGTTAGCTATTTTCCAAATATTTATCGGAAAAGAATTGAAAATTAAAGCAGACAGCTGTTAAATGATAGACAATTTCAGCTTTCATAATATTATATAACTCCCTTAAAATGTATCTCCATTTTTTTTGT